TACACAATAGATTTGCATTTTCATGTGGAATCATATTTTTATTATGCTATTTTAAATTAAAAATAAAATAAATAAATGTGAAAAAATAAAGAAGCTATAACAATTAAAAAAAAGGAAGAAATGGCAAATCATTCTAGAATCTGTTCCAAGAAAACTCCAAATGAGCTCATAAAGAGTCAGGCATGACTGAAAAATGACTAAAAACAAGAATATTAAATATTCAGTACTGTATGAAGCACTGAGGCTACAAAGCTAAAATTGAAACAATTCTTTCCCTCAAGGATATTACATTCTATCAAGGCAACTATATGTAAAGGTATATAAAAAGAAACAAAAGGGTTTTTAGAGAGGTAGGGCACTGGCCACTAGGTGAGGTCAGGAGAAGTTTCATGCGCTTGCCTGGTGGTGCTTGACCTGAGTCTTGAAGGAAATTGAGAATTCTAAGAGTCAGAGTAGAGGATAGGGGAGATTGCATATCAAATAAAAGTATGGAGATGGGAAATGGGTTTCAGCTATGAGGAACAGGAAGAATATCAGATTGTCTAGACTGAAGAGTACATTAAGGAGAGTACTGTATAATATTGTTGAAAAGGTAGGTTGATGTCAAGTTTTGAAAAATTTAAAAATATTACATGGAATAGTTTATATCTGTTCTTGGTGGTAATAGAAAAACCCTGGAATTTAAGGAGTAGGGGAATGACATGCTAATACCTGAGGTTTAGTAATACCATTTTCGACTCAAAGAGCCTTTGTTTTCATGACTCATAAGCAGGTGTGGACTAGACTGAGAACCAAATAAAAACATAAAATCTTGGAGCTTGAAGGGACCTAAAGTAGAATGCATGCTCCTTGAAGGCAGAGGATGGTTTTGGTCTTTGTACCAGGCATATAATTACTGCATTTTTAGTTGAATTTACTTGAGATCGCTTGGTCTCAAACCCCTCCCATTATAGATGAGAACATTGAATAATAATTCACATCACTCCCATTTATAAAATGTATTAATGTTTGCAAAGCACTAGACACATCATCTCATTTGATCTTCACTACAACTCCTAGGAGATAGATGCTTTTATAATCTTCATTTTTCCAGATGAAATAACTGATACTTAAGTCAGTTGACTTTTCCAGGGTCACACAGCTAATAAGCATCTGCAGTTGGATTCAAACCTTAGTCTTTGTGACTCCAAGTCCAGCATTCTATCCACCAGTTCACATTGCTACTGAAGCCCAGAGAAATTAATTGTCTAGGGTCATAGTAACAGAGCCAGTATTAAAACACAAGGTTCTGGCTGTCCAAGCCAGTAATATTTCTATTATATACCTTGGTATTTATGGTAAATGAATTATGTCTTCATTTATTCACACACAGAGCTGTGTTGGGAGGTTTCAAATTGTATCTCTAGTACTCAAGTTAATCTTAACAACAGGCTGTGGATTTACTATTTGGGAAAATTGATGCATATGAGCCACCTACTGACCTATATCTTTTTTTTTTACACAATACTAATGATATACATATGTAATCTAGATTTTCATCTCATGAACTTCTTCCATCAGCATCATTCCATTGACAAGCAGGGATGTGCAAAGAAGACTAGCAGGTTCTAGATAGCTTCCATTGGAGAATGTACAAAAGTCTCCTGCTACAAGCTCTATTTTTTTTTTAAGAACATTACTCATCTTCAAAAAAGCTTAAAATATACACACACACACAACCAAGCAAAATAATACAAAATATCTTATGAGAACAATATAAAAATCATTTTCTTAGGAGTGAAATGAAATAATTTCTTCAAACTTATACTTTTAGTATTTCTCATTAAACCATAAGGTCCAGACTGTGGCCATGCAAAGGGAAAATTAGAGGTGGAGGGTTAAAGATTTAAAATATCACTAAAAGAAGACCTTGATGTTAGAGTAAGAGGGAGAAAAAAATTGTATATCAGCAAACATACAGTGTGAATCATCTGTGTATCCATAATTTTTTCTTGAGTCTCCTGGGTGTGTCACAGGTCAGTCAGCATGAGAGAAGGTGTTATAGTGGAAAGAACACGGGACTGGAAATGAGGAGGCTCAGATTTCAGTCTTAATTCTGTGACTAATTTGGTGTCTGAACCTGGGCAATTAATTTCATCTCTCTAGATGTGATTTTCATAATCTGTAAAACGAAGGGGCTACAGTAGATTACCTCTAAGGCCCCTTTTAGCTTCAACATTGGTGTATCCTGAGTTACTACAACAAGACTGTGATGATTTTGCTGACCAGCTACCCTCCCCTACATTTCCCTTCCCACACCAATATTGATTAGTTCTACACAGGTCCCTCTTGGAGGGAAGGCTTCCTCTACCCCCAGTTCTAAGAGCTGTGTAGCCTGCAATCTGTAGTTGGGTACAGGCTTGTGAAGGAGAAAATAATGGAGATCAGGAGGAGGATATCTGGATTAGCCTATCTTCCTTATCTTCTTAGGAGGGAATTTTTATAGCATACACAGGGATAAAATGAAGCCCAATGTATCCACACATAAGAACATACATAATTGCACAAATAATCAACCTGATTATCTGATTTTTGGAAGGAAGGTTATGTTGTTACTGAGTGACAAAAAGAATAGCCATTAGTTTTTGTAGAGGTAGAAGAGCTGATCTCCTCACTGTACAAAAGTAGTGGAGGGAAGGAGTTATAGTCTTGGGAGCAGGAAAAGAGAAATAGAATTAAGCAATGTTTTGCATTTTAAAATAATTTTCCACTATAATAATCTCAAAATCCTCCAAAAATAATGGTAATTCTTCCCATTTCAATAGTAACAATAAGGTAAACATCCTTTTTAAGGGGGGTGGGTGGGGAGCATGCTATATAAATAGTTTATTTAAAGAGGTTACATTTACGAAAAGATTGAATTAAAAACCAACAAGCATCTTTAAAAGAAAACAAAATGACACCTACCTATCTACTTTTATCAACAGAGAACATTTGTAATTTGTAACCTGTACTTAAACCTTAAGTGCATGAAATCATAGGTTTTCTACCCTGCATGCAAAATTTCGCTGCATAAAATACTAGCCCACACTTATGTTGTTTGTACAATGGGAAATCCAAGCACTGAAACAGCAGCATCATTAATAATATTTAGATCTCACAGTGGAAAAAAGACACTATTTTATTGTTCTCAGGATAAATTAAGCATTTTAACTTGAAATAAAAAGGATATGTAGTCAGTAACATTAAAAACAGCATGGCCTAATGGATAGAGTGTGGAGCTTGGAATTGGGAAGGTTTGAGTTCAAATTTCCTTTTTGACTCACTAGCATATGACCTTTGTCAAGTCACTTAATTTCCATGTGCTTCAGACAACTATGTCTTATCTATGAAGTCTAATGTAGGTTGTGACCAGTGGTTAGGGTTGGGAATTCTCTATGACTTTCAAAAGTTAATTTGAAGGTTAAATAATATCTAAGGTTAAAAGGTATTTAATATTAGCTTAGTTATTAAATATGACATTAATTTTCATAGAAAGCAAGTTCTAAAATGTGCAAAATTCAATTTTACAGAATAAATTTATTAAGACAAGACTCTCCAAACACTTTCTAAATGTCTTTGTCAAGTTCAATAATTAATTAAAAACATGGTTATTGAGCATTTATTGATTGCATGTAGCAATTACAATCTCCCACTCTCTGATTCTCCTTTCTCCCACATACACAAAACTGCTTTCCATAAAGTACCTCTGTCATTTTTTAGGGTGGAAAAATTGTAGATTGCTTGAAGAGCCCTCCAAGCCTCATTTCTAGATTAGCCATGGATTATTAAGGATGATAATACAGTAGAATCACACTTGTGTCTGCATAAGAAGGTAACATCTGGAGAACTAGTAGTCTAAGGGAGAAATCTACCCTATACATTAGCAGAGCAGCATTTCAAGTATAACAAAACTTGAGGCTGTGGCACTGCAAATTGATGAATTAATATTTGTGAATTGCTTTGAAAAGATTTAAAGGCAGCGCAAATATAAGGAAGGCATTATTGTTATATAAAAGTGCTTTATAATTTTATTTCAATCCAAGTATATATTGAACAACCACTAAGTGTCTAGTACTGTGTTAAGTACTCTTGATTTTTTTTATATTGGAAAAAATGAAAATTAGGATGTTTCATTGTTGAAGGAGGACCAAATCTTTAATGTTTGTATTATTTTATTTTCATGACATTTGAAGTGGGGCTCTACTATATTCTTTTGCTCTTGCCTCTTTTAATGATTGCTTAAAAAGATTTTTATGTTGTTCATCAAAAATATATTATAAATAATGAATTTTATAAATAAAATAAATAACAATAACTAGCATTCTTATAACACATTAAAACTTGCAAAGTCTTTTATATACATTATTTCATTTAAGATTTTTTGAAAAAAATAAACACTGAAAATGCACTCTATTCTTTGCCAGAGAAAAGACCTCAGAAGTTCAAGAAGTTTGAGAAGTGACATCCCATCTAATAAAGGTACAATGCTTCCATATTTTTCTCTTTTCATCAGTGCATCATGACCAAAGCTGGCAAAATGTCTAGCCAATGACTACTCCCCTTGCTAGGCCATAGTTCTTTTTCTTCCTCATCTCTGCATACTTCCACTATATTATGTTCTATAAAGTGTAATATAGCTCCAAATTATATTATTTTTTAATGTAATTTTATCATTTGATGTTTGCTAGTCTTGTCTTTCCAGTCAGAGTATAAACTACTTGAGAGCAGAGATTGTAATATTAATAATATTGCACATTATTGATGTAACATGATATTGGATTATTAATATAATTATATGGCATTATAGTAATAACATGCAATATTAAAAATAGGATATATAATAATATTACATTATATGTAAAATATGATATTATGTAATATATCACTAATAATATATAATATAACATAAGTACACAATATTATTATGTAATAATAATAAATATGTAATATTTCTTTATCTCCTAAAACAGCCTGATATTGAGCACATATGAAGCACGTTGATTGAGAGAAATGGAAGTGAAATCATTCTATCATTCCTTATTCCTGCTCCTATGTGCTTTCGGCAAGTGCACATGACTATTTGCAAGGATACTTTATTTAGTATTATTTGTAACCCTGAGAAGACCAGTGCCAATGTAGTATGCAGGAGACTCAGCAGGTGGCATAACTGGCGTGGAATTTAAGATGTGTTGTATCTGATCAAGCTTAAAAATACATAATGTAATGTATCTAATTATGATTGTAGAGGGTAATTTTAAAATGAAGAGGTAACTTTATCCAATTATAGCGAACATTATTTCTAGGATTAAGGGGTAGAGGTAAGCGATTCCTTAATGATCCACCACAGTCATCTATGGATATATTTTGAAACAGTGACTGACAACTTTTCTCTGTGATGTTTGGGGGTTGGCAGAGGGAGAGGATCTATTTTCCTCATCAGATAACCATTAACCACTTTCTTGTTTCCTTAGCTTGAACAAAATTACTGATGACATATTTGATTTCCTTCTTTCACCATAAATAAAAGTTGGAGCGTAGGGCTAGAAAAATGGGAGGTTGACCATGCTCAGTCTGATATTCATTCAAGACTCAGTCGATGGTGTTATGCATTCCCACTGACAGAAAACACTGCAAGTCTCAAATCTCAAGTTTCATCAGGTGGTCTATGTTTCAAGCCCTGAGTTTCAGGACTAGGATGGCTAAGTTTAACATCTCTGGCACGAAAACAGCTGCCACACCAGATGCAACTTTTGCCCCCAGTATAAGGTTTCATTTGCAGGATGATCCAAATAAATTTGTCGCAATGTAAGAGTATGACCCATGTGTTTTTCCATGTGTGTGTTAAAACATGACTTCTTTACATTATTTAATGTATTTCATGTAAACATATTCTGTGGGTGCCAAGAAGTTACATAAATCATTTCACCATTTGGTGCAATACTTGTACAAGCTTCTCATCTGAGGGATTGTCCACATATACTTAAAATAGATCATTGCTTCTCCCCTTCTTTGTACTGCAAAAGGGCACAGAAAATGCAAATTAGAGAGCACCTAAGAATGGCTGGGTAACAGTAGCAATTAAAGCATTTACACTTTTGGCTTTCTCATGGCTGAAAAGATTTGAGATATTCAGTCTGCTTCAGGTTGAGACATTGCAACTGAGTGTAAATGTGTGAAAAGTCTAACTGAAGGAATTTTCTAGAAAGTGAAGTTGTGAAATGGTGGTGGTAGCAGTTGAAAATGGAAACTGGGCAATTGTTTGAACATCAACAGAAGAAATTTGATAACAGTTTTAGACAGAAGAATCTAAAGGTAGATTAGATAATAGAATAGAAAAATAGGAGAGAACAAAATGCTTTTCTGATTTCATAAGTGCCTGGAAATGCAAGTGAGGAATACAGTTCCTAGAGAGTAGCCAAAAGCAGGTCTCAAAGCTAAAGTGGTAAAGGAATCAACAGTGCAAATAACAAGTGGTCTGACCATATCAGTAGGATGATAATGCACCTTGGAACATAATCTAGGGAAGTGAAAGGGAGGGTCTAGGGAGAACAAGAAACCATTATTTTTGTTTATTTTTCTTCCTTTAGGAAATTCTAAACTTTTGGCATATCTTCTTCTCTTCAAAAAAAAAAAAAAAAGTGCCCTAGGCCACTGGATGGAAAATAATTGGCAAGAGGCTTCTCTGAGACTCTAAGCCCTTAGAACAGGCGATCTCTAAATTTGGGATCCATGGGTAGAGTTCAGAATGTCTATGAACTTGCATGGGAAAAAATACATCTTTATTTTCACTAACCTCTAACTGAAATTTAGTATTTTCTTCCATTATGAATGTAGGTCACAAACATTATTCTGAGAAGGTGCCTAGATTTCACCAGACTGCCAAAGGGTCCATTACATACACACAAAAAGATTAAGAACCCCTACCCTAAAAGAAAGAAATCTTGTTATTTCAAATTGTTGATGAATTAAATTGCATTACAGCAACTGTAAAGTCTTGAATTTTCCAAGGAAGTTTACATTAAAAAAAAAAAAGTTAAGACAAATTTTCAATGAGGCTTTGCAAAAAGGACTATCCTTTGTCAGCTCACAAATCCTCACTTGGGGTATAGAAAATGCTATAGAATCATAGAATCATAGATTTAGAGTTAGAAGAGTTCTTAAATGCCCCCTAGTCCAACCCTCTCAATTTACAGATGAGAAACTGGGCCCCAGAAAGTTTGTGCTTTGTCCAAGGTCACACGGATAATTCATCCTAAAGATATTGTTTGAACCCTGATCCTCAGAACTCTTAAAACTATCCTGGTGATAAAAGGATAAAAATAATTTTTGACTCAGGGTGATAATAGCATGGGGATTGGAGTGTGTGTGTGTGTGTGTGTGTGTGTGTGTGTGAGAGAGAGAGAGAGAGAGATAAATTTCTTTTTCTCTTTCTCAATCTGTCTCCCTTTTTGTGTCTCTGTCTCTGACTTCGTCTGTCTTGTCTATCTGTCTCTCTCTGTTTCTCTCTGTCTCTTTATCTCTGTCTTTCTCTGTCTCTACGTGTCTCTCTGTAACCATCTCTCTGTCTGTTCTATGTTTCTCTCTTTTCCCTTTTCAGGAGGAGTGAGGGGCCATCCTTACCACCCTCCTCTGGTGACTGAGGCAGAAGGTGCAGATGGGTCGCGGGGCTCCTACGCTTCCGTAGGGGCTGCCGCCAGCACCTCCTTCGCTGTCCCGCAGGCAGGGCAGATAGTGAAGCGGGGGGTGGGCCTGGGGACCCCCAAACGACTCGGGTGGGAACAAGAGCACGTTTTCCAGATGGGAGATGTAGCTGGCTGCCAGGCGCAGGGTCTCGATCTTGGAGAGCTTGCGGTCCGCCGGCTCCGTGGGGATGAGGGTGCGGAGGGCGGTGAAAGCGCTGTTGACGCTGTGAGTGCGGTCCCTCTCCCGGGCGTTGGCCGCCTGCCGCTGCTGGCTCAAGCCGACCACACGGCCCCGTTTGCGCTTTTTCTTGCCCTGGCCGCGCTGGAACTTCTCGGGGCTTTGGGGCTTCTGGGTCTTCCCGCTGCTGATGCTGCTGCAGCTACTCTCCCGTGCCTCCGACTGGGACCTCATGTCCCCGCTGCGCCTGCTTTGGCTGACCCTGCCTCCTCTTCCTCTTCCTCCTCCTCTTGCTCCCCCCGACAGCCCTTTAGTTCCATATCACTGTTGCAGCAGCTGCCCCTCTGTGCCCCAGGCCGACACCTCCGGCTCTTCGACCGGAGCAATGACCTCGAGAATAGCCTCTAGTACCAGGAGGATGCTGGAACCCTGGGTGGGGTGGGGGGAGAGCTGTGGGGCCAGAAGGAGGTGAGGGAACCGAAGGGGGAGTTTCCCTGAACCTTCAGAGGATGCACCTGTTCTTCGATTCTGCTCATTTCTTTCAGGGGACTGGGTCCAGAATGGCTTTACTCTTTTTCAAAGTTTTAGGTAGGCCAACTCCCACTCTTTCAGTACATTATTTTCCTGCCTCATTTAAGAATGACTTTTCTGTAGACACAATATCTGGGTCTAGTCCTGGAGACTTCCTTCTGCCTTGCTTTCCTCTCTCCTCTGTTCTTTTCTTTTTGTATTTTGTATTTTTCTTCTCTCTACTTTCACATCCCCCAAAAGTGTTCTAGAATTTGCCACTCAGATTTCTCTCTACCTTGCTTGTTTCACAGGACTGTAATGGTCAGAGGTTATTTAAGGACCAACATTCCTCTGCTGATTCAACAGCTAAAAAAGAGAGTCAGGAAGAGGTAAGGAGATAGAAATTCTCTACTTCCAACCACAGTTGAATTTTCCCTCCTTCTACTCTTCCTCCTTTCTTTCCTCCCTCCATCCTTCCCTTCCTTTCTTCCTCCTTCTCTGCCCTCCCTTCTTCCTTCCTCCCTCCCTTCCTCCCTTCTCGTTTCCTTCCTTCCTTCTTTCCTCCCATCCTTCCTCCTTCTTTCTTTCCTCTTTCCTTCCTTCCTTCCTACCTTCCTTTCCTGATAGGAAACATCAGAGATCTCAGATGTTTAATCTTCCCTCCCACTATACTAATCCTGTAGGATTGTGGTAAGAACTAACTTTTTTGGTTTTAGTTTGATCCTGTGATTTCCTTAGAGTACGGAATTACCTTCTACTTGACAGTTAGCACTTTACATATATTATTTAATGTAAAATTTACAACCACCGTAGACAGGTGCTATTATTATTCCCTACAATTTACAGATTAGGGAACTGAAGCATAGAGAAGCTTAGGGACTTCCCTAAAGTCACATAGATACTATATATATGAGGCCAAATTTGAACTCACCTTCCTGACTCCAAGTTGGGCACTTTATCCATTGTCACTTAGCTGCCTCTACTAATGCAAATCACCAACTTCTCCACAACCTAGGATCTTACTTGCTTTGTGCTCCAAGAACTTAGAGTGACTTGCTCATACAGCTAGTACTTAAGGAAGAAATTAAAGGCATGCTTAGCATGCAGATAACCCACATTACTGTTGTACTTTAAGGTCTACAAAGCTCTTTGCTATAAAAACCTCTATAAAATAGATGGTATAAGTATTTTTATCCCCATTTTACAGATAATGAAATTAAGCCTCGGAGAGGTAGACTGTCTTGCCCAGGCTCACACCACTGATAAACAGCTGATTCAGTACTCAAATCTATGACTTCTTGATTTTACATTTCAGTTTCTATATTAAATTGCTCATATAGTACAGAGCTGAAAATACATCTAATGATTTAAATAGTTTATCAGCAGATTCAAGGGAGAGAGAAATATGAGAGAAGGAAATTTGTCTAATTATAATTTATTGACATCAAAACAAAGAATATAGCAAGAGCATGTGCCAATCTGCTCTATAATTCACCCCAGACTTGGTATAGCCTTGAGTGAGAAAATGAGTTTTGTCAGTAAAAATATTCTTCCCCCAATGTTAAGTATTCCATTCTTTGTATTGTGTGGACTATTACAAAGACAGTATTTTTTTCTTCCTAGGAACACTTATCAGCTATTTTAAAAATTGGTTTTCGTGTAGTTCTTCTAAATTTGAGAAACTTACACCCCACTGCAGAGGAATAAATAACAATCCCTCCAGCTGTTACACCCTTCTGAAGGTCTTTGTTTTCTGAGGATTAATTAAGCTTTTTTTCAACAGCAGTTTGTCAAGTCTAGGAGTAGTTTTTAATTTTTGGCCATAGTTTCTTTCCCTTCTTTGCTTCAATGGAATTGATCCCATTTTATTGTGGGCTTGAATGGTTCTTGAAACACTTGACTTCTTCATACCAACAGCTGCTCCAGTATCTCTAACAGTAACTGAAATGTGCTTTTTAAATATTTCAACTTTTCATGTTTCCTTGGAGTAATATCCATTCTTAAAAACCACGAAATTAAAAATATATAGCAGCTGCTTTCATTGTAGCAAAGAATGATAAATAAATCAGCTGGGGAATGGCTGAAGAAATTGTTATACATGAACGCAATGGACTTTTATTGTACCATAAGAGATTATGAATATGATGGATACAGATACTTATGTAAACTGAAGCTGAAAGAAATGATCAGAACCAGGAGAACATACCAGATGATTACATTAATAATGTGAAGCAAAAGAAAAAACTCCAAAAGGTCTCAGACCTCTAACCAAAATAGTAAATGAGGTGATGAACTGGACATACAGAAACAGACATGAATTCTCAGACATGACCAACATGGATCTGTTTTGTTTAATTACACACACACACACACACACACACACACACACACACACACACAGTTAAGAGACTTGTCCAGGGTCACACAGGTAGTAAATACAAGTGTCTGAGGCCGGATTTGAACTCAGGTCTTCCGGACTCCAATACCAGAGCTCTATACCACCTAGTTGCCCCTGATTACACATATTTCTTACAAGAGATGGTATGGGAGCAGGCAACTAGGGGGTAGTGATAGACTTGCAAAAAAAAAGAGTATTAATAAAGTATTTCTTAAAACATAGAATAAAATATATAAGTACAGATGACAACAAAAATAGAATATTTTTGAAACTACCTTGTTGAACTTTTTATTTCTTCATTACTCTCCTGTCTTTTCTCTATTATCTTCCCCTATTAGAATATAAGCTCCTTGAGGGCAAGGATTATTTTTCTTTCTGCTTCTATTTGTATTCCCAACCTAGTACATAGTGAATACTTAATAAATGCTTGGGGTGTGTGTGTGTGTGTGTGTGTGTGTGTGTGTGTGTGTGTGTGTGTGTGTAAACCAGTGGCTCAAAGACCATTTGCATAAGACTCTTTGAATTGGTGGAAATTGATTATTCAATGTTATAGTTTCCCATATAATCTTCTTCCCTGTTTTTAGTATCTTGAAATATTTGTGTTTAGTGACAATTGTTAAAATTCAAAATAAAAATGAAAGAAGAAAGTAAGAGTGTGAATGTGTGTGTTTGTGGGTGTACAATTCAAGATAGAAAAACAGTCTTCTAGAGACCTGGTTTAGCTGGGTCAAGTGTCTTATTAAAGCAGATCACCTTTTCTCAGGATGGACAGCTGCTTTGGAATTCTTGACTGAGACATGGGCCCCCTCTAAACTTAATTAGCATTCTGATGACCTGCACTTGGGTCCATCTGTCAGGATGGCCTGGTTCCCACTCACAAGACCTTTGGACCTTTCCCTTCAGATATAGATGCTAGGCAACAGCAAGTTCAAATGAACACAGTCCATGGAGCCCCACAAATAGCATTCCCCCCAACCCCCAGGATTTCCTCTGTGGAAGGAGTTCTATGTGCCCCCACCTCCACTTTCTTTTCTGTCAGACTAGTTCAGAGTGGTTCATTAACTCAAACAGCTTTCTCTAGTGCAATCTCCCCACCACCCACCACCTACCATCTCCTACCCCCTCCAACACACTCACAACCTACCACCTCCTACCCTGCTCCGACACCAGTCTTTTTGTCTGCTTGGCAAATTGCTACTTGTTCACAGAGAATATCTCCCCAACTTATACCTTTCCAACTCTTATTCCTTAGTTTCTGAAAGAGCTAACGAGCACAGTTCCTTGAATTTTAACATGAAGACATTTGTTACTGAGCTAATGTAAAATGCATTGCATGTCTCCTTTCCTGGAGTGCTGAGGGGGGCTCCAGTAGGAGGAAAGAAGGCTGTACCCTCTTCAGGATGTGTGCCATGATTACTTAAAGGTTTGCTTCATATGAAAATGTACTAACTTGGGAAAATCATCTGTTACTGAGAGAAATGCTGGGGTATAATTGTTGACCTGAAGGTCATGAAAAAAAATCTTTTAAGTCTAAGGAATTCTGTTTTTAAGTCATTTGAATTGCATGTACTCACTGTGGTTGTTTGCCAGGGGCAAAATATACATGACTAATCATCATGTAAGATTTACTTTGCATTCTCTCAGGGAAAAAAAAAATGTTTCAGAGCCCAAGGGCTGAGATCACGATAGATATGTGAGTCATTCCATGAGTTCTATTTGGTGATGGACTGAAATAATCCTATACAAAAATGTTATTCAAAGCTACAACCCCTTCTAGTATAGGGTATTATTAAATACAGTTCCTCATAAGATAATTTTAGAGAGGGTAATCTATATTTAGAGAGATACCATATCACTTTTCATGAAGATTCAGAGGGTGAAACTGTCCAGTGGGTGATATGAGCATACTAGGGTTGGGCTTTTAAAGTCAAGTTAAAATGTAGGTCAGACAGTTCATATTGTGTCTGCATTTTATCTGAAGCTTAGTGACTCTGGGATGTAGAGAAGAGATAGTTTGCTTTTCTGCCTTCAAAGAACTTACCGTCTTGTGAGAAATCTACAACATAAATGTATGAATAGACTAAAGAATATTTTTGAGACTTCTGGTTAAGGATGCTATGTGACAAGTCACACAGAAGCTGAAATCTCCCATTTTACCCCAGCATTTATCACCTAAAATGGGGACCAAATTGACCAATGACCAAGAAATCCAAAGAGAAATGTTAGTAAACTCATTCATGAAGTGAAGGGCTATTTTAAAAGACAACTAAGAGTTGTAGACACTGGAAAAAGGGTATTTTCAGAGAAAGTAGCATAAACACAAGAAAACAGGCCAAAAGCCTGTATTAACACCCCAATGGGA